GTAATTAACGCACACCCTCAGACACCCTAATTAGTATATTATGTTATAATCATAATACATACACTGAATTTTTAGTTACACATTTTTATGCACTGATTATTTATCAAATTAGTTATACTAATTCCGGAAGAATGTTGTGGTCACAGTACAAATCCACGAACGCAAAGACTTTAACGTGCTTGAAATAAAGTTCATTTTTCTTTATTTTTATCGAATGACAGAATTAGTAATAATACAAATAAAACTGCACTCTTAAAAGTCTTATTGCCTTAAGTTACGGTCCATTTCAGTTTGTTTTGACTGTACAGATTTAGTGTGAATTTAATTTACGTAGTTTTAATTATTTTTGGGATAAAAAATTACCTATATTAAAAATTATAGGAATCGACTCAGTAAACGATTCGGAGCAAACTACTTTCTCAAAGTGCGTTAATTACGGTATGTGTTGATATATATATATATATATGTGTGTGTGTGTGTGTGTGTGTGTGTGTGTGTGTGTGTGTGTTAGCTATACTTTTGCTGCAATTTTATTGTTCAACACCTAGCAAAAACGTATATTACAATAGTTTCTTAAACTTTTACATACACGGTTTTTAAAATAATGCAACTATGCTATCTCATGTACTTTTTTTGATGTGAAACATCTATAGTGGCGGTTCAGATCGACTGTTGACGTGGCGACGCTATTACCAATACACAAATATTCTTATATCTTGCTGTTGCATCACTTGTTAAATCTGTATATCAATAAATTATTACTATGTAGAGTATATTATGGAAAACCACTCTTGGTTTGCTTAAGCTAACAGACTATTTGATGTATGTTCTGTAATCCTAAACTTAGGTAAAAATACAAATACAGTCATACCCGTGCAACATTTCCAGCAGTGACAGTTGAAGAATGGGAGCACTGAACAATGTGAAAAATTGAGTATTAGAGTTCATAAGTATTATAAGTTATTAGTAAAGTAGGTACAGTTAAGTTTGAAAAATTGTATTTATTGTTACTATGTAAACAATGTGAACAAGAATAAATACTATGTATTTATTTTATATTATTTATTGAATATATACTATGTAAACAAGAATTATAACTATCAGCACAAACATATTGTTTTACACCGCCATAATTATATTCCCCTAGTTGTATTAAAATGCCGATATTGCATTATGCAGTTAGAACATAATTAAAGCAAGGGAACTTTTATTACACATTTCATGTTAAGGATACAATTATAACTATTTATCACAAAATGAACAATATAGAAAAAGAGCCAGTGCCTAAAAAAATGTTTGATTTTACTAAGGGAATTTTTTTAATAGTTCATTACAATGGGTTGCGTACACAAACACACTGCGGTCAGTCAAGCGACACTGAGAACAGATGACTCAAGGCAGGCCTCCGTCACTCGCTCTAGGCCACGCGTTATATGCCTACCGCTCTGCGTATCGCCCACGATAGAACCGACATTGGGCTGCCGCACGCCCGCCTGAGCGCTTGCACCACGCATGTTTCCCGCGCTTACTCGTCGAACTGCCAAAACCATGTAATTATTGTGCAGTGTATGTGTGTAAAGGTCAAAAAACAAATGGAAAAATTGTCTTTTTTTTGCGTTGACTCAAGTATCAGAGTACCACGATAGAACCGACATTGGGCTGCCGCACGCCCGCCTGAGCGCTTGCACCACGCACGTTTCCCGCGCTTACTCGTCGAACTGCCAAAACCATGTAATTATTGTGCAGTGTATGTGTGTAAAGGTCAAAAAACAAATGGAAAAATTGTCTTTTTTTGCGTTGACTCAAGTATCAGAGTACCACGATAGAACCGACATTGGGCTGCCGCACGCCCGCCTGAGCGCTTGCACCACGCACGTTTCCCGCGCTTACTCGTCGAACTGCCAAAACCATGTAATTATTGTGCAGTGTATGTGTGTAAAGGTCAAAAAACAAATGGAAAAATTGTCTTTTTTTGCGTATCAGAGTATTTATACTGCACTAGCTTCAATTCCTTGTTACACAACCCACAGAACAGAACTACATTGTACAGAACCCTAATATTGACGAAACAACACTGTATACTCATTTCTAAGCTTATAATAAAGATTCATCTTTTTATGGTGGGCTAAAAGTCTCATCAGAACCGTTTAAACGTCATAATGAATCGGCCTGGCAGCACCGTGTTGCAAATTTTGTAAACCATTAATTTTCCTCTGCTTTGCTCCTGTTTTCCTCATGATTATTTATTGAAATTATTTATGCGATTTAGGAAACTTCAACGATAAAATTTAATAACCGAGAATTCAGGGAAGGAAAAAAATTTATAAATCATTTTTTAAAACTTAAACATATTTGATTGACAAATAAAAATATTGTTAGTGTGTATGTATTTCGCAACATTCGTTTTATTACAATAATCATCATCGGTACAACCCTAGCGCATTCGTGCGATGACGCGCTTGCACGTGAGTCGCACGCCAGGCAACACAATCTCAACTTTTTATGCGCGTATTTATGGTACATTTTCTTGTCGCTGCGAGCAGCAGGTATTAGTATTAAGATTTTGTAGGCTATTATAGCCTAGATATTGTCGCTTTTGTATGGGAGTGTAAAGTTCACTTTTAGACTAATATAATAAACTCGGATTTAAATATTTACTCTAGACAAGTTTATTATTTTTATATTACAGATTTATTCTAGACAAGTTACTCTCTTGGAGATTACAACACGAATGCGCTCGTCTATGGAATGAACAAGGAATATATAACTATCCTATACAGGAACGAATGATAAATGCGATATCGATATTTATATCGATACTTTATTTTTTAAACAATATCGATTTATGTAGCGAATAATAATAAAAACTTATTATTACACAGGGGTAAATAAAGAAATATAGCTATATAATCATCCTTAAAATAATATGTTGTATGTATATAGTGTATGTTAACAGGAGTGATGTATCTGTTGGTAAATTATTTATTAATCTATGCTCAGGGGCGCTATCAAAGGTGTCGTGTCGTACCTGCCGAGGTATTAAAATGAATTTACTAAGGCTGAAAATTTTAATACAACTTGTATATTGTATATAAATAAAAGTTTAGGTCAGTCAGTTCAATATGGGGACGGAGCTGGTCACTCGGCCGCCATGTACTCGTATGTGCAAAAATTAGTTAATGTACAATTAATTTTCTACACATCAATAATCCCATTAAACCCAATGGACGAGTAATGCGCCTAATGCTATGAACAAAAAATTCTGTCACTTGATGCGGGGAGGAACACTACATAGACAGTACTGCACACCTACCCAATCAAATTTTATGTCATTATGGCACACACAAATCTATATCTCCAACACTATTACATTTTATGCACACATGTAGATCAAATACATCAACATGGAAAAAGTCATGACTGTAAGGCTACGGTCTCCTATTAAATGCTATACGCGACGTCCGACTTCAGCATAAACGTTCCGATCGGCGTCTGAACGCCAGACACAGCATCAGCGGTCAATACATATCTTACAAACGGACGACGTCTAGACTTTCGATCGAGCAACAATTAAGTAGCCGACTGTGCTCACGTGTGGTTGTGTGTTATATTTGTACATAAAATGGATATAAATTCAATACTTTTGGGGGCGCTTGTGTTACTTGAAGAAGAGGCACAAGACGACCGTATACGAAGAAAAATAAATGCAACAAGGCACCGATTATTTATGAAGAGATATGAAGAAGGATGTTTCCAGCTATTGATAATAAAACACTTAAAAGACAGCAATTCTAAATTTACTGAATATTTGCGTATTAATCAGGAACAATTTAAACATAATAATAATACAGTAACTCGTCTTTTTCTTTATTAAATTTTGTCATTTTGTACTGACGCTAGACACGACCTTCACGCTGCAATGGTTCGAAATAACTAGAGACGCAGCGCAAAGCGTCTTAACGCCGCCTACGACGTCCATACGCCGACATCAGCTTGTGAAAGAGACCACAACAGTACATTTCTATAGTAAGCATTGTAACGCGGCGCTGCGCCCTCCTTTCTGCCAAGGAGGGTCGCGTCCGTATACGGCTTAGAGATCTCCAGTCAGATCGTTAAGCCATTTCCTAAAAGGTGGTGTTTAGTGGGTAAAAGTCGCCACATAACCACGCAGCCGGCTGCGTGGTATGCTATGAGCATTCACCACCTCCCTCCCCCCGCTTTCCGGAGGGTTGCCCATATTTGCTTCGGGCGCAAAAAAAAAAAAAAATAACGCGGCGTACGGCGTGACGCTGTAAGCGGTCGATGGCGTTTATAGGAGACCACCGCCTAAGACGGACAAATTAATTGCGATGCTACCATACCGACATATTATATCGATAGTTTTCCTAAGAAAAAGAGAAAAACTCACAAGCATTAGTAAAATGCACTTGAACAATTAAAATCATCCTTTTACTTAGGCAGCGTAGTAAGTTTTTTTAGGGTTCCATAGTAACACAACAAGGAACGCTTATAGTTTCGCCAAGTTCAACAGTCTGTCGGTTTATCCGCGGCTTAATACAGAGACTTTTAAAGAGGTATGGTTAAACATGAGGAACTTATGTTTTAAATAACAAGCCCTCATCACAAAAAAAAATAGTTTTAAAATCGACATTTATATTATTACAATAAAATGCTTTTGTGAAACAAAAATAAAGTGTCTCAGCTTATTAATTAGTACAATAAATGTAAAGGAATAAAATTATAAAAAAAAAAATTAAAAAATATATTTATTTGGGGCTGATCTTAGTGACAACATCGTCTATTTTAAAACGGTATTCAAAGAAAAAAGTTACAAGTTTGCAAGAAGACATCTTTGTTAAATAAATAAAACAAACGGGTCCTAGAAAAGATAGGAATTGAAGCAAGCGAACTTTTAAAGAGACAATTAATATAAACTTAAATGTAACATTGGAAAACTGCTCTGAACTAAATATTTTATTTTATTCTTTTTGGAAAACTTACAGCTAACATTAACAGTAAATAAATTAATAACAACTAGAAGGCCATTTAAAAGCTTCCACCTATAGACAATATGAACTAACAATAATTCTATTTGGTAAAAGATAAACATAGATTAAGACAAATACAGTAAATTAACTAAATTAAACAGAAGAGCACTCAACAAAATAATTTTTTTGCTAAAACATTTTTGATTTGAAAAACACTGGTATTAAACAAATTCAAGTTATTAAACAAAGTCAAAAAGTTTTAAATGTGGTAAAGCCTTGCTGCAGTTATATTAGTAGTATAGTTGTAGCACGAATGGGTCGGCTCGACCGGGGAAGGACCACGCTCTCACAGAATACCAGCGTAAAATAGTAGCTTAATGCTGCTGTGTTTCGTATGGTGAGTGTAGAGAACCGGAGACCCATTTTATTGGAAACGAGGCATTCCATCTTAGTCCACACTGGTGACAATGTATCTGCATTTTGATTTGTAATCGAGGATAGATGTAGATGTCTACGGGCCGCAGCAACAACTTACCATCAGGTGATATGTGTGCCAGTTTGTCACCATATCATATTTAAAAAAAAATCAAGTCAATGCTATTGGGAATGTCGTTAAAAGTTCTACATGCACTTATCATAAAAGAATTTTGCCTGTATTTATAGTCCGGGTATACAGCACATGGAGTAAGCTAGGCTTTCTTAATTGGGGAACTCTTGTTCTTGTTGTCTATTAAAACCTTATTATATACAAAATAAACAGTAGAATTAATATTGTAATGAATCATTCATTATTGAATTCTTCCTCCGACGCATTAAATTCATTGATATCGCTGTTTCTAATCTAAAATCTGAAAAATTTATATAATTGCTGTAATTATATATAACACACTAGCTTACGAGGCAGGCGTTGTTTTGCCCTTTTCGACGACCCTTTGTCATGTCCTACGGGTTCTATCAGACAGAAAGCGGTCACGCGTTCAAACGTTCCGCGTTCGCGTTTTGCGTTCGAGCGTTCTATTGCTCACTAATCACGAACGCCTACGTTCTGGTTGACCGACGCGGTCAGAATGTCTTCCATCTGAGTATGTCTATGTAACGTAATACAACACACAGAACGCGAACGCGGAACGCTTGAACGCCTTCTGTCTGATAGATCCCTAAAAATCCTTAAATTAGCAAAAACAAAAAAATTGTGGGTCACTCATGGGCTAAAAAAACTATCCTATCTCTCAAGTTGGACCAAACTGCACACGGTGTGCTAATTTGATTAAAATCGGTAAGTAGTTTAGGAGTCCATCGCGGACAAACAACGTGACACGTAATTTATATAGATTAAGATAATAATGTATATCATTATACTAATAAATATAGTGTTATAGTAATTATTATTATATAATTGTAATTAGTATTTTATATGTAATACATAAATCGACGAATCGTTAAATCGATGTCTGACTATTTTTTTGTTTAAAATAATATTTAAATTTTGCACAATATTTATTTTTTGCACATAAGAGTACATGGCGGCCGACTGACCAGATCGGTCCCCATATTCAACTGACTGACCATCACAACTTTTATTTATATGCAATATCCAAGATTTATAATCATTTTCAGCCTTAATAAATTAATTTTATTACCTCGGCAGGTACGACAACTTTGATAGCGAGCCGAGCGACCTGAGTCACCTGTTCTCAGTTTAGCTTGACTGACTACCGTATGTTTGTCTTTACTTTTACTTAGTTGTGTACAAAAATCATTGTAATGAACTATAAAAAAATTTGCCTTAGTAAATTCAAACAGTTTTTTAAGCGCTGGCTCTTGGACCAATATAATGATAAAAAACAACACAATTATAAAATTGTTGTTTGTTACTTTCATAAATTTCGCAGTGCCAATATATGACAGTGTGATCTGAAATAAAATTAGGAAACCATACACCTCACGCCTCTATAAACAATTTCTTCAGGCCACCCAAAAGTTCAAATTACATATAATAAATTAATTAATGTGGCCCAACATTTACATGGTCCATAATAATAATATATTTAAATTACCTCTGTGCTATCACCATCTGACCGTGATGATAAAGCTGATGATGGTCTGGATCCATCTGTAAATAGTTGAATCAAAACTTGACTATAAAAAGGGAAAATTCTGAAATAAAAGTTTGCAAAAAAAAAAAACTAAACTTTAATCAGTACCATTATAATTTAATTATTGTTCTATAAATCAATTTCAAACAATTTTAATAGGTATTAAAATATTGATTGTACATTTAATCGAATCAAATCAATTTATTTTCGAACATAAATCCATAAGGTTAGTAAGTAATTTAAATGTGAACGACAGATTTCGTACCGCATACTTTTTTTGTTGTTTGTTATAGAATTTGTACCAGATATTAAGGCAACTAAGCCATTAATTTTCATGTAAGCGTACTATTTTTAGAACTTGGGATTAATTAATAATATTAATAAAAAAGATTTTAATAAATAAACGTATTGTTGCGCGCCATAGATGATGCCGGTAAAGGACACTAGCGCCATCTAGTATTGAGTAGCAGGTGTTAATAGAACTTTCTAGAAAATGCTATGCTAGAACTTTCCACGTCCAGCGCCATCTAGTATCGAGTGGCAGAACTAGGAGAGAACTTTCTACACCGTCGGTTGGGACCGGTATGTGCTCGAATATTCGGGATGTTTTAGTGGATAAAGGCGTTAAGGACCGCGACCGAGGCAGTATTGAATTGGCGGTACAAGCGAAGCTTCGGAGCGAAATAAAGTGATCTAAAGTGTTAAGTGTGATTAGTTATTAGTGTGTTTTAAGTTTTAATTGGTGTTAGGTAATTTAAGTGTCAACTTTGGTAATTCAATCGGCAGTTATTACTGTCACGAACCCTAAGCTCGTACTATATAAACTAAACGCAATTATGTTTTTAGAAGTTGCCAAATGTAATATAACAGAAATCTCGAATTAATTATATAGAAATAGAAATAATAATATATATAATTAAACACTTACATGTTATACACTCACCGGCACGGAAACTTGGCCACTCGTGAATTTGCTGATTATTTGCACTGAAACGTTTTTTTAACAGTAAATTAAGGGTAGATGCATTCAATAAGTGTCTCTAATGGTTTTAGAACATAGAAATTTAATGTTTACTTCACCGAAATTTTTCTTTTCAAGATAACATGTTTTCACTAAAATTAACATCTTTCCATTGTCACTTTAAAAACACTACAAAGTTAAAAATTAAGTCTGTTTCTTTATTGTCTATCAGTTTTAATATCGGGTGTTTCCTCCTCTAGCCCTGATAACCGCTTGCATTCGATCTGGCATGCTTTGAATGATGTTTCTGACATCAACTTGCGGTATGCTGTCCCAAGCGGCCAGCGCTGCATTTCGGAGCTCATTTAGAGTTTGTGGCGGTTTGGAGCTGGACTTTATCTTTCTTTTGAGCATACCCCATACATGCTCAATTGGATTTAAGTCCGGGCTACGAGCTGGCCACTGTAATTTTTGTATTCCAACCTCTTCCAGATATTCCTCTACACAATGTGCGACGTGCGGGCGTGCATTATCGTGCATGAGGAGGAATTGGTCGTGTCCAATGAATCCCGAATAAGGCATTACGTGCTCCTGAAGAACTTCCTCGATGTATCGAGTAGCTGTAAGCCGATTATCGACGATGACCAACTCTGTACGTGCGTCGGAACTTACACCTCCCCATACCATTATTGAGCCTCCATGGAAACTCACAGTTTGGGTGGTGGTAATGGGTAGAAACCTCTCTCCTCTTTTTCTCCACACTCGTTCTCGACCGTCTGGAGCACGTAAAGCTATTCGACACTCATCTGTGAACAACACTCTAGCCCATTGCTCGTGGGTCCAATTGACATGTTCTCTTGCGAACTGAAGTCGGGCTACTCGGTGCTGTCTGAGAAGTTCTGGACCTCGTGCTGGTCTACGAGCTTTTAAATTCACTTCCTCCATTCGTCTTCTCACCGTACGCTCACTAACATTAACGCCTCTTGCGATTTGGAGCCGCTGGCGTATCTCAACAGCGGTCAGGTAGCGGTTTCTCAAAATCTCCATAACAATAAAACGATCGTCCCGGGCCGATGTGCACCTTACGCCCCCACTGCCTGGCCTGCGGGTGTAGCGGCCTGTCTCCTGGTATCGTTTCAGTGAATACTGCATTGAGGACCGTGGTACGTTAAGCACAATAGCAACTTCACGCTGTGTCAGCCCTTGGTCAATTAATGCTACTGCTTGTGCAACTTGTGCTGGTGTTAATGGCATTTTTATTGGCTTTAAAGCACCTTTAGTTATTTAATTAAGACACAAGATCACAATAATTGAATAACCTTACAGTAAACTTTTCACAACACACAAATTTAAAATGTGAACTTAGTCGCTCAAATGACCCGATTCAACTAAAAATTAAAGAATTCGTCATGGTGCACTTAAACATAATGAATTACCCTCTTGAACTTGAGGGTAAACATTTTTTGACATACTTGCATAACAAACATTCATCAGAAACACTTAAAGCTTTTGCTATCGCGAGATAACCGCTTGGCCAAGTTTCCGTGCCGGTGAGTGTATCTAAGAATGCATTAAGTGTTGTATAAAATCATGATGCCTAAGGATAATGATAGGAATGATTTTAGTCATCAATTTTTTTATTAATATGGCAATTATTTATTGACATTTGACAGGTTTTTACGTGGTAGAGCCATGCTGCAGTTATATTAGTAGTATAGTTGTAGCACGAATGGGTCGGCTCGACCGGGGAAGGACCACGCTCTCACAGAATACCAGCGTGAAATAGTAGCTTAATGCTGCTGTATTTCGTATGGTGAGTGTAGAGAACCGGAGACCCTTGTTACTGGAAATGAGGCATTCCATCTCAGTCCTCGCGGGTGACAACGCATCTGCATTTTGATTTGTAATGGAAGATAGATGTAGATGTCTATGGGCCGCAGCAACCACTTACCATCAGGTGGACTGTGTGCTCGTTTGTCACCCTATTCTATAAAAAAAAAAAAAAAAAAAGGTAAAGAAAATCTGTCTTTCAGTTCAGTTATTTGCTGTTGATTTGGATTGTGGTTTCTGACTGCATCTGAGTAATTTAGTGAATTATCTGGCCGTTTTTACGTTGAGTTGAGAATCTGCTCCTTCATACTCTATCTCTTGATAGAAGTTTCGCGAAAGGACGCTATATTAACTGTGCTGTGTGCGTTCGTGCTTTAATTAAAATGTCGAGTTTGCAATGTGTGAATCGCAACGTTCGCTTGTCCTGAATAAGAAGGCACGTTTTATCCGATGAAAGTGAGTTAAGATGTCGTCAATACTATTCGACTGTGGACATATCCTAGAGAGAGATGTAAGTGGTGTATGAATAACATTCTGCATATGAGTAGGCTAGTAATAAACTCTGTGATAAGTTTTACGCATTTGAAAAGTAGTCCTGATCATTTAAGGGTACACTAGTCACTCGTTCTTCCATACAAACGTAGTCTGGCGATTACTCCACTGTTTGATGATGTACGTACATAATAAAAAATTATTTCAATTTGTCTCATCATTATCTAGCCCTGTATGGAAACAAAAAAGTAAAAAAAGAGTATGTTTAAAAGTCATAAGCGTCGAAAATTCCGAATTTCAACACTATTTTTAACACATCTTTTGGCGGAAATACAATACTATAAGAAGAACGAAAATTACAATACGGTTACCATACAGGGATAGATTAGTTGTTCAAAAATGCAAATAATTTTATTTGGAGCAGATACATTCAAAAGTTTTTTTTCATAATTTTTTTTATTTTATAAGAACATCCTTGTACCATATTTCTTGTGAATAAATTTATTTATTTATTTATTATAGCATCCAGACTCCCAAAGGTCTGTTATAAAATTTCGCGCGCTCCTTTTTGTTGTAAATCATCTTGCCTTTCGCTACAAATTATTTCCCCGATCAGTGGGACGGACGGAGGGGGGGGGACGCAGCGCGCACTCACACATGCTCACTAGGTTAGCCGCTGCTATCTATTTATGGTTGTAATACCTACATATTTACACCTTTATTTAGAAAAATTGCTTCCTTTTGTTCGTGTCCACTTGCCGAAGCCGGGATGAATATAGCTGGTAAAATGTACCCATAAGTTTGTTGAAGTACATGTAGTTAAAATTGAAAACAGGTAGGTACATAATAATGAACTTTCGATACAGGTAGTACATTAGGTACTTAACTACTTTAATTTGCCAACTAACGAAAACATCTCATTGATAAGCACAATTGTCGAAAATCTTAAAATTATCTATAAATTTAATTAGAATAGGTAATTTTTAGATTTTCGATAATCGTGCTTACGTATAGGAATCTCATATCCTAATATGCCTAATGTAATTTATGTAAGTACATAAGACTCTAAGAAGGGCGTAAATGTACGGTTCAGGCATCTTCGAGAAATCGGGGAACAGAACATACATAACCAAAAAACAACGAATTGAGAACCGCCTCCTTTTTTCGAAGTCGGTTAAAAAGTAGGTAAAAACAAATGAATGAAATTATTATATAATAACAACATCTACTTAAATTCACATAAGAACTTTCATAATTACAACTAAATTGGGTTCATAATAATAACACCAATTTGTTTCCTCTCTCTTTTCTCTTTTTAAAATACGTTACCCCAACAGTAGGATTTTCTCCTGTATCGTGGAGGCAGTTTACAAACATAAATTGCACAAGGACAAACATCCAGACCCGAACAACTATTTGTAGGCTATACATATATTTGTTCCGTGCGGGATTCGAACCCGCGGCCTCGAGCGCAGCCACTGCGCCAAGGAACTTTCAATTGCGGTTTGAGTTTATGTTGTCATTCAAAAAAGAATCGGAAATCGGAAGAATGTAGGTACGCGATGACGCCGTCGCTTGCGTCACTGGAGTGCGCATTTGTATGCGCACTAGCTTCTTACTGCTCATCACAGCGTCTATCCCTTTCGCACGTGATGTCGGCTGAGATAGCATGCATTTTAACCCCGCCTACCATTTAGTTCGAGCTATCGACTAGGGTCACCTTAAGCCAAACCATACTACACTAAATATACATCGAACTATATTACTAGCTTATAGAACAGACACCCCGAACCAAAAGTTTGCTTCATTTTGGTTACAGTTACAACTATTGTGTGATACATTACAACACACGCACCCAGCAAGGGTATAACAATATGAAATAAAGCTAACTATCTTTAACGTCTTAATTCTAATACTAATATTTATATTTTTTTCCCTCTATTATATCTTTTCTTTTATCTCTATTATATCTTTGGGTAATGTATTTATTATATAGGTGCCAGTTGTGCCAATGTATTTATTATATAGTTATATAGTTGTTTAACTGCCATGAAATATGTTCCACAACATATGGTTTTAGGAAATATTAATTTATTTCTCTTCTTAAGTTGTATATTATGTCCATTTATATTATTATCTATATAAATGGACATAATATACAACTTACTTATCTATATAGCTTTTTGAAATATATCTACATATTTTCTTACTAATTTACATGATTCTAATATGTATAAAGATGTCACTGTTATTAATCTTGTATTGTATGAAATATAGTCTACAGCTTTCCCTTTAGTCAATATTTGCTAGAACTCTTATACATTGTTTTGAGCGATAATATATATAAAAAAATTTTGGATGTATGTGCAGTTTCCCCACAATGGTATACGGTTAACGCTTGCCATTCAAAGGGCCATTACTCTTAAATGTTGCTAACCCTGGGGGACACTCATCAGGTGGATCCTACAAACAACAAAGAGCCCTTTTCCTCTACAACTTATTCACACAACACATATTATATATGATATAGCTATTTGGCAAAGGTTTTCCGTAAGGTGAAGGCAACCAATTACTGTATCTCAAAAACCATTATCCAGCTTTGGTTGTTCTTCTGTTCTCTTACCTCCGTGTACATAACTCTTCATTATTACTTATTAGTTGCTATTGTACATAACCTTAAAAGTTAAAACTGGTTATAACTTTTATGTCCCAAGTTTTAAAAATCTAAGAATTTAAATGGTGTTTGTCTATCCTACTAACTACCAATTAAAACAAAAAATATCCCAAAACACGAAATTTTATTAGCGGTACGAAATTCCCATACAAGGCTGCCATTCACCTTTAACATGAGATTGTAACATTTATGCATGCTGAAAATCTGATATGGCATAAATGAATGGTCCAAAATAAAGTATGGCTATAACAACTGCATAATGCAATGTTCAAAGCAAATAAAGATTTTTATAGCATATTGAATAACATACCTGTGTCCTGTCGTGGCCTTTTGCTTGCCTGCACTGAAGCTGTTAGAGAAGCCCGAAAACTCCTGACAGGCTTAAGATCTTTAACAGCTGTTTGTACTTCCTCCTCCAAGCGTTCTATGAGAAGAATAAATAATAAATAAATTGTTAATTAATTTTTATACATATCTCCAACATACATTGTAGTTAATAATAGAGATGGGCCGAATATTCGTTTTATATTCGGTATTCGGCATATTCGGCATTTTTACCGAATATTCGTATTTGGCCGAATATTCGCCTAAGTCACCGAACATTCGTTAAAGTGGCACTTGAAGTGTCTACTGTATTGAAATGTTGGAATTGAATAATGCCATGTCTTTCATAATTTATTTGTTGTTTTATTATGTTGAAACTATATCTTATTTATGGGTTAAATCTACTTGTATATTGTTATGTTTATGAGGCATTGTAGTAAAATACATTGCATTAGTACATTTCACTTTACTTTGGTCGTCAGTTTCTCTAAAATAAGTCCAAGTATTAGATCTCCTGCCACTCATTTTTATCATATAATTGTCAATTTTCACTAAGAATAACACACCGAAATACTTTTTTCTCACAATAATAGTCAAAATATAAGCATGTGCCGGCAATTTGCTCAGTGCTAGATGATGTAATTACATGTTTGGTGTGGCGGGGGAGCAAGAGGCACGGTGCTAATCCTGCGCGCTTTACGGTAACAAGTTTCGACATAAATTGGTTAAGTACCGAGGTGATCCTGCCGAAAACGGTTAACTGTAACGGTTCGGTAAACTTTTTACCGAACCGAATATTCGGTTCGGTAAAAAGTTTACCGAACATTCTGCCGAATATTCGGGTTCGGCCCATCACTGGTTATTAATGTAAGTATTGTTGCTATAACATAATTTATTTTCACATTGAATAAAATTAAATTTACGGATTTTATCTCATTTAATTTTATTTTCATTATATAGCAGCAGAGTAAGAACATCCACTACCCCAAATTACTCTTACGACACCCATAGGGTGGAGGTAGAAAGAAAGAAACCAGGAGTTGTGTAGTGGTAGTGTAAGAATATCCACACAACCCGTATCATCCCGTGGGTGTCGTGAAAGGCGACAGAGGGAAACAAATCAAATGGGCAACAGCAGCTTACTAATAATGACCAAAATAAAAAACCGCCATTTCCAACCCGCTTACAAAGCGTGGCAACTGTGGCAAATATCCCCCTATGATGCAACCCATAGATTGCGGCCTATGTTCAGCAGTTGACTTTGACAGACTATAACAGTAAATGTATTTAACTTATCTCCAAACAATTAGCAAATACAATTATTTAAATATTAAGGGGATGGTAATATTCTCTTCAAGGAACAAGAATAATTTAGTTCAGTGATAAAAAAAAATTATGACCCCAGCTCACCTAATACACGGTAGTATACTCCACAAAAATTCTCGTCATTTATTTTATCAAATCCCTTAAACTCCTCATCTCCAGTATCGCTAAACGCAATAGATGCTCGACGTTTGATACCCCTCTTCTCTTCATCAGAATTTTCTTCTGTGATTTCTTGTGAGGGTATGTCTTCAGCTTCTTTTTTTTCAGTATCTGACTTTTGTTCACCTATTGTTTCCGTTTCTGGTGCATCTGTGAATAAAAATTGTACCTTATTACTTGACAAAATATAAATTAAACAAACACAGGAGGTCCACCCTATAAGCTTTCCAGGAAGTTACAAAAAACTAGAAAATGTAGATTGTAACAGAAAGTTAGAATAGTTACACATACAAAAAAAAAATTATCTGACCATGTTTAGATCCTGGATGTGTAAATAAGAGAGCTTAGTTTATGCACAATTAAAAATTGACAGGTTTTAATAAAAATTAAATCTAATCCATAACTGTCTCATGAGATATTCAAAGCGGAAATTAACCACAAATGAAAACATACATACACAAATACATCCTCTTGAAAACCATAGTATCCAACTAGACAGAACAACAGCCAGGCTAGCATGGGCAGGAGAGAATATATCCCCGGGGAAGGGATAAAATTTTTATCCCTTGCTTAGTTTTATCCACCGTGAGAGCATGGGCAGGAGACAAAAATTATATCCCCCGATTATATCCACTGACAAGAGATAAAATTATCTTATCTCTATTGTCTATCTCCGTTTGACATAACAAGTGGACATATATCTCCCCGTCCGTAGCATGGGTCCAAGGGAAAGAGATAAAAATATCCCTTTTTGACATTTGAAAGGGACAATTTTATCCTCTTTCGTGGACGTGGGTTTAAGTTTATCTTCAAACTATTTTAATACAAAAAAGATGTCTCGAGCCTATTGCAACTACATTTTCGTGTCAGAAATTGAAAAACAAGAAAGAAAATTACATCGGCGATCGATATGTGATCAGAATACTTAATCTATTGGAATTCCCCGACAACGAATATCTACAGTCGGATGCTCAAAGATTGTTTTGTATTTGTGTAAAGAACTCTATGAGGCTTTAAAGCCTTTTAATTCGTGGTGCATATTGAAGTAAGCATCTATTACCACCACCTTGTCCAAAAATATCGTATATTTGCAATCATACATGTGGCTAACTTATCTTAATATTTTTTCTAGGTAGGTAGTTTACATCTTTCAGTCTCTTGGCAGATGGTAGTTACCTACTAGAGGTACGAGTCAAGACCATGGCATGGCTGTTGTTCAAACAACAAATAATCAGCAAATACTTGACCTAAGTTATTGGGGCCATCATTAGAATGTGGGGAGCAATATACTTTAATTAGCCTCTTGTGTAAGTAAGTACAAGTTTCAGTGCATCTACTTCTTTCATTTTATTTTTGATTGTGAGTAGAGAGAAGTGAATGTCATTTCCGGGCATATAACAAACAAGGCAAAATGTAGCTAGAAGATCGTCTGCCAGATATTCTTATGGCTATGGACTGCACCCATGTTGATATATTTCACCTACCATCCCAGACTGGGGTTTAGTACAAGGAAAGGGCGGTCTACAATTCTAATTTAAATTTTTCAACTGGTAATAATAGCAAACAAGTTATAGTTTTTAAAAACCTAAAACCTAATAATCAAGTTTTTTCTAAATAAAGAATAGTAGTATTATATTAATCTAATATTCCCCTTTCCCCAAAAAATAACTAATGCATGTGTGCCACAATAGTCTTACAGGTGGTACCATGAGACTATAGTCGCCCCGGTTAAAGATTCTACAACCTTTCAGATTGTAGTCACCCCTTAAAGTGTTGAGTTATTGAGTCTCAATAGCTCAATGCCATAATTTAATTACATAGGTTGTGTCAACAATACCCAAGGCGAGTCCATGGTCAAGTCATATTTAATGATAATAGCGTCACAGTTTAGTGGCGTTCTGGTTATCCGTTTATCTACTGTCGATATATTATATCACCATAGGCCTATGCTCACAGGGTGGATAAAGCTTTAGCATAGGGATAAGACAATTTTATCCCTTGTCAGTGGATATAATTGGGGGATAAAATTTTTATCCTCTGCCCATGCTAGCCCGGCAGACAAACAGAACTAATTGTTACCATAACCAGCTACTTTGATTTATACTAGGGGGATATTAATTTTCTTTCCAATAAAACAATAGTGACAAATAATTACACAGTCTTCCTGATGGTTACTGAATGCTGTGGCTCCTAGACATCAAAATCTATCTTTGATTAAGAACCAAAATAGCGATACCACGCTAAGACAAGAAAGGACAATCTGTAGCCTGCTTTGTTTGAAGTTGGCTGCAAGTGTACACATTTCTAAATTATCTGAGCCACCTGGGCTACTCAAGGAATCTTAAAATTTTTTTATATTACAAACAATGTTGGGGTGACACCCTAATGAAGTGATGTACACAACTCTGTAACTGGCAAGGTTCTAGTTACAGCAACCAGGATTGAAAACTGGGATCACGAATCCAAAAATACCGGGTTACCAGACTGAAATGAAAGCTTTAAAATATCGAGATTGAGTGAACAGAAACAAATTACATGCCATTTGTCCGCGATGGACTCTTAAACTACTTAAATGATTTTAATTAAATATGCACACCGTGTGCAGTTTGGTCCAACTAGAGAGATAGGATAGTTTTTTTGAGTGACCCACCATTTTTTTTTTGCTAATTTAAGGATTTTTACTAGGACATGACAAAGGGTCGTCGAAAAGGGCAGAATGTCTGCCTGGCAAGGTAGTAAATAATATAATGTCAATAAAAAATTAAAGTCTAGTTGTTGTTATGGCAACGCGGTTTGACTATGCAACGGAAGTCGCGCGACTACACTCTGGAGTGAATGAGAGAAAGAGTACCTACTCCAGAGTCTCGAGCCGACGACGAATCCGCTCTCTCTCCCGCAGTAATCTGCGCGATGCTGACACTTGAGTAGAGGTGGGTTTTCTTTATTTAGTTGATTGTCGCGCGTCGACCAAAATGCGCGCGTTCGCTACTTAACTACTTACTCTAATTTGTGACAAGAAACCAAAACTCAATCAGATTGGCCACAAACACTTGCAAACCAAGCACACAATCCACACATTCGAAGTTGTGATGCCTTGTTGAGGTTTGCCGAGTTGTGGATATGGCATAAAGTTGAAAGCTCATCCACCAGAGAATCATGTGAGGTGGGTCCTTAATAATAAACCCACAATATTTTGAAATATAATAAATTAGATATTATTTTACTTTCCACTGAATTGTATAGAATTGGAGAAAATCACGTTCTCTTCTTTATATGGACCCTCCTCTGGTAACTATGCATAATTTGAGTCTGAGAATTTTGTGTCATAAAGTTATGAAATATTATTGTATTTGGGGAATTCAATATAATTATATTTTAGAAACATTATCGGACTAAATAATGATAGACCTTTCATTACCTTATTAAAACTATTTAATTTATACTTGCTTCTTTTTTTGAGCCTGCAAGAGTGAAGCCAAGATTGGCCACTTGTTTGGATAATATTTTTTGTAATTGTTACATTTAAAAAAGTCAATAATTAAATAGTATAAATTCTAAGTAAAATTTTTAAACTAAAGACAATTAATCAAATGTAATAATATCAAAAATAATTCCAGTGACTGGTACAACAATAGGTGTTTTATTTTATTTATTTTAATAAGGATAACAACAGCGTATATCACTAAATAACTACAATTTCAAATTTACTTCAAGTATGTCAATAACAAGTATCCACATATTAAATACAAAGGTAAGCTATTATTAAGATAAGAAATTAAACAAATTAAAACAACTTAATAAAATAACAGTAATAAAATTAAGTAATTTTAGGTTTACTAACACTAACATATTAGGTCTTTCTGACAAATTGATATGTGATTTACTTTTCGAGTTAATTTTATAATTCATTTATTTATATCATGGCAAAATATATTCTATATATCATTACATATATACATACAAGTATACTTACACACCAATGTACATAAATATTTTAAAATATATTAAAATATATAAATAACTCACTTGACATAGCTACCTAAAGTAAGTGTTTCTTCATAATGTAGCTTACCAGCATCCTACGTTTACAAATAAAGGTAAATTAAACAACAGAATAATAATATACAGTGGAGGAAATGTATGAGGATATTTCCAAAGCCATGCATTCCTCCAAAACCCACTACACGGTGTTGATGGAAGACTTCAACGCAAAACTAGGCACAAGAGAAAATGGTGAGCTGAAGTTAGGGAAATTTGGAGTAGGGCAACGGAACCGAAGGGTCCAGCAGCTGGCCGACTTTAGGGAGAAAGAGGGACTCTTTATAAAGAGATGAACTCTTTCTTCCAGAAGCGGCCACACAGGAAGTGGACCTGGTCGGGCCCCGACGGTTCGACAAAAAATGAGATTGACTTCATTATGACGACCAGACGCCAACTGTTCAGTGATGTCTCAGTGATAGCAAGGGTGAAAACTGGCAGCGATCACCGAATGGTTAGAGGCACACTGAACCTAAACGTTAAGTTGGAGAGGTCTCGTCTAATGAAGTCAACGCTCCGTCCCCCTCATGCTCTAATCCTGAATCGAAAACAGGTTCGCTTTCAGTGCCTACAAGATTGCAATGCAGTGGACGATATGAATGACAAGCTCGTGGAAACTGTCCATGCGGTCGGAGCTAAGTTCTTCAAGACCAGCCGCAGAAGAACACAAAAACTCTCCGATCACACTCTTAATCTCATGGCTGTTAGACGGGAGATGAGGCTGCAATCGTCAACAGATTTGACAGCATACAGGCAACTGAACAGACAGATCTCCAAATGCATTCGGCGAGACTTACGCAACTTTAATACTGCTCATATTAAAGAAGCGATCGAGCGGAACCAAGGCTCCAAAGTCTTTGCCAGAGATCTGTCTGCCAGTAAGAGCCAACTGTCAAAGCTGAAGACTGAGTGTGGCAGCATCGTTTCCGGGACACCTGAGATTTTGAGTAAGATTGAGAGGTTCTATGGGCATCTGTACACATCATTGTTGGAGCCACACGCAAGTGTGAGTAACCATCCAAGAGCAAGTCTTATCCGACACTATTCCGATGATATCCCGGACGTCAGTCTAAGCGAGATTAGAATGGCTCTCCAGCACCTTAAAAACGGCA